GATGCCCACAGCCACTTCGACTATGACCCTCGCACGGATGAGTTTTTCTTTGACCGGCACCCGGGCGTCTTTGCCCACATCCTGAATTACTACCGCACTGGCAAGCTGCACTGCCCCGCGGACGTGTGCGGGCCCCTGTATGAGGAGGAGCTGGCCTTCTGGGGCATCGATGAGACCGATGTGGAGCCCTGCTGCTGGATGACCTACCGGCAGCACCGCGACGCCGAAGAGGCTCTGGACAGCTTTGGTGGGGCACCCCTGGATAGCAGTGCTGAGGACGGAGACATAGATGGCACCGGAGACTCTGGTGATGGTGAAGAGGAGCTGGAGATGACAAAACGCCTAGCACTTAGTGATTCCCCAGATGGCAGGTCTGGGGGCTTCTGGAGACGGTGGCAGCCCCGCATCTGGGCGCTCTTTGAGGATCCCTACTCCTCCAGATATGCAAGGGTAAGCTATGCAATCAGCACCCTCATCAAAACACTCGAACATCCCTTCAGTCCCTCTTCCTCCCAGCATCATCAGTATTATCTCCGCTGTCAGAGCAGAGCAGCCATCCATGTGTGTAGCCATACAAAAATCATACGCAGGCTCTGGGGACATAACCCACGCTCTCAAGTAGGCCCAACACATGGGGCACAAGTGGACACCAAGGCATGAGCTTGTGTACTTACATGTGGGCTTCCAGAGACCCTTATTTTCTAACAGGCTACTAGAAACCCACAGTCTGGGGCAGGGTCCCATTCACAGCCCAGGGAGATCTCCAGTATACCAGGTAATTTCCCTCCATGCACAGATTTTCACAGTCAATCATCTCCCAGTAAGACATCCCCCAGAGACACCTTGTTCAGCCCTCTTAGGAGCTGACAGCTCTCTCTCCCCCTTATGAGATGGAGAAAGGATCATGGGAGCAGGCAGTCCCTGGGAGACCGGGGTATTTGGAGAGTTTCTCAGCCTGGACTGGAAAGGGAGTCTGTTCCTTTCTCTTTTCTCATCCATACCATGTTAAATATTTATGATCATGCTTCTCTGAGAATGTGTAATTCAGTTCCTCAGCTCCTCACTCTGTCTTTTCCCTTGTGGGAAATGCAAAGTAGTAATCAGAGAATAGGGTTCATTCATGTAGAAGGGACATTGTTTGACAGGTTTCTTGCCTGGCTACTGAACGACACCTCCTCCCTCCTCCTGGTGCCTGCGGTTGTTTTGGAAAGGGAATGCACACTGGTGCAGTTCACAGCATAGCTGTGGATAAAGACGGTCTTAAACAGTCACCGGACTCCTCTAAGTAGGTACCTTTCATGCTATTACGTATGAGAATAGTTACAATAATTAGGGCCTGATCCTGCTCCTGATGTCAAAAGTAAAGAAAACCTTTATTTCAGGAGCAGCAGCAGGATTAACTCCCAGGATCCCCATATTGATAAGCAGAAAAACAGGAGGAGGATAATGCCTTCACAAATAAATTGGTTGGGATAGGTTTTACTCCTCTCTTAAGTGTACCTTTGTTACAGCATAATTGCTGCCAGCCCTCAGTTGGGATGAGTGGTGCTTTGGTGTGGGAGGATGATCGGTGTTCCCGAGGAGGATCAAAGGAGTGAGATCAGATTAGGAAGCAAATTGGATGGATGGAGGAAAGAGAAGTGGAAGAGCAGGGAGAGAGGAGCTGGTCATGTATGAATGGGTGGTGGAAGAGCAGCTGCTGGAGGCTGTTGGTCTGAGCAGCGATCTCCAGCAGGGAGCTGCCAGGTCTGCAGACTGAATGAATGGGGAAAGCTGGAGCAGAGCCTGGAGTTATATCTTGGTGCATTTCTAAAGATTCTTGTTTGCATACCCTTTGGAGATTTCCTCCCTGAACAAAGAAGTTAATATTTTAAATGAATTCCTTTAAACAGCACGGAGGATAAAGGAATAATAAAATATTTACCACAAGATGAAAGGATGATGCTGTTGAATTGCAGCTTTCAAATCCCTTATTTCTACCAAGGGAACATGGAAACAGAGTGGGAAGGCTGGAGGGTATCCTTCAAAAGGCTTAGTTAGCTTCCTTTAATCAAGCCCAGCGCTAGCAGGCGTTAATTTGAATAGCAGATCTCCCTGGTGCCCAGGAATCTGTTGGTAAAACACATTTCAAGTCAAAGGAGCATGCTTGTCCAAGATTTTGTGGAATGATCCAAAAGCCAAATGGATAATGCTGTCACAATGAAAAGGATACAAACAGGCAAAAACACATTTTGCTTGGGAGCACTATGATATTTTAGGTCAGAGGACAAAATCTATAGCCAATATTAAGAGTCTTTGTGGTAGACAAGTTGGAATTCTAAGAGGATATAAATTCCGATTTCTAATTCTCTGTGGGTATTTTCATTTAGGAATATGCATTTTATAAAGTGATTTGGGCTTTGTGGATGGTTTTTTTTTTTGGTTGGTTGGTTTTTTTCAGTGGATGTTATACTGTTTATTCACAATTACATGTGCATACCTGATGGAATTCAACTCCTGATTTACCTCTAACTTGTTATTTCCTTAAAGGATTGTTAAACTAGAAAAATGTGAATTCTGGGCAAAGTTGAAGCATATGCTGAATATTTCATGGGTTAAATATGATTCTTTAACTTGTATCTATGGAGACATAGGCCATATGCATTAATATTTTGCATGAAGGAAGATGGCTTTCATCATCAATACATGCACACGCTGTCCATTAAGAAGACATTATAAGACACTTAACATTTTCTAATAAAAGCCGTATGTTATGGTTATAGATGTAAAAAGATGAGAGTTTGATTTATGCTCCTGTAACCTAACACATACATTGCAAAAAGACCTTAAACTCACAATAACTAATTTACAGTAAAATAATTGATAGCATCATTAACAAGTGAAGGGTATATTAAAGCAATCATTAGCAGAGTCAGGCAACAAATCCACTGTTACCTCACTTTTCATTGTGTACGCTATTCATGCAAAAATTTAAATTCACATTGCCATTTTTTCAAAAAAATACATCACAAAAATTTGTTATCCTAATCAGATATGAGACTGTACTAATGGTTTTATATACATGTTTGTGACTACATATGGCGCCAAAATGTATGTCAAAATAACATATTAATATAAGCATCTGTTTACATAACCATTATACTATTACACTGAAGGAAGCAAAAGGAATACAGGACATGAATATTAAGATTAAATTAAAACCTGCCTATCTGAATAGAGCAAGATATTAGTGTATCTGGTACACTAATTCCGTGAATGTTTAGTAACCATCTGTGGAAAGCTCAGCATTTACTCAAATCAAGCCAATCTTGGAGAGTTTTGATGGACCCTCCTTACAAATACAAGTACATTTGACTGTTTTGCTTCACCAGCACCAAACTTATACTAAATTTCATCTGTTCTCATTGAAGATGGTCACGGGAGATTGGAAGAGCATTTGTGTATCCCAGGCAAAATCAGCAAATTTTGTCTGTTTCTAAACTTACTTTGATAAAGCATAAGCTCCCAGTCACTCATTGATTGTCTTCAGGGGCAACATAATCAAAAGTTTCTTGTTAAAACAATAGAGTCTGAGTTTAATAAAATTACAGTTTTCTAAACACTCCTTTCTTAAATAAGGTAGTTCTTTCTAAAAAGATGAAATGCTTTAAAAAATGCATAATCTTCTAAATCTGTAGTAAGAAAAGGTAGCTTGTTTCAAATCACAGATTGCCTTAGACACCTACAAGATAAACCAGTGTGACACTTGTCCATAATTTAAAGAATCCACGTTTGGATAACAGAGCAAAGTCTGGCAGCTGGAGGTCTGAACAGAGTAGCAGATTAGGTGATTGAAAAATATTGGATTTACAGAGGTACTGAGTGCATATGCAGACAGACAGCCATCCAGGTGCATTTTCAAAAGCATCTGATCAGGCAGCTAAATATCACTGCTGCCGATGGGTAATGTACACCTAAACTGGTGAGACATTTCTGTAAAGCTTATTAGAACTGTCTTTTTCTATGTTCAGGCAACTTTGTAAAATTATTTTTCATAAGTAGAAGCAAAGGGGGAAATATACTCAGAGTCACACAGAAAGCTACGCAGATACCCCACAGCAGCGTGTCTGAGAGTTGGCACAGAGTTCCTGCCTTTTGCACTCATTAGACTTCACAGACCTCTCAGTACACAAGTGTGTGAAAAATATTTTCTTAGCATCCCCTCTCCTTTATATTTATGTCCGGTCCTGCTGTTCTTACACTAGCAAAACTCCCATTGACTTCCTGCGGCGTTTGGTCTGCAGGTATCTAACACATTTGCCCCCTTCCTTCCCCTCCTCCCCAGCAGGGCAAGGTTGTGTTTGTGTTCATTCAGTCGCTAGGTTAGGCAGTGCTTGGGAACCAGGAGCTTTCAGCTGAGATTCTGCACTAGTGCTCACATTCAAATTGGACAGTTAAGCTTCATTAGTGAACCCTCAAGAAAGCTTTTCTAGTCCTTCCAAATAAACATTTTTACTGTTTTTAAATAAAAGCTGGTTGGGGTCCTATAGGAAGTCCTCAACAGCTTGACTTGCCATCCTGGCATATGCTATACAGCTCTGATCTGGAAGAGGAAAGGCTTATGGCAAAACTCTCTCTCACCCTTCCTTCATGTTCTCCCTTCACATCCTGCAGAAGGATCTGCTTTCCTCACTGGGTGATTTTTGAAGGACAAGTTTCCGACACTGAGATGGTGACAAGAAAAAGGATAGGGGGGAAGAGATGAGAAGAAGGTATTCCCCAGGGATTTCTTCCAGCTTTCTTTTGTATGTTCCAGACCATTTCAGCCCTGCTGCATTTAAACTCTTTTTTCCTCTATATAAACTACATCCCAGGGGTATGAGAAGGCTTATGGAATCCTAGTTCCTGAATAACCATACGGTCTCCAGGCTTAGAGGCTGGCATGATTTCTGCTCATCCTTCACCCTCACCCAGTACAGCTACACTAGGGAACTGGGGAAAGTAACACGGAGTGGGGCTTCCGCTGAGTGTGAGCCGACAGGGAGAGGAAGGAGCAGAGCCACCCAACACACTTTCCCCTACCACAGGCACCGCTCTCTGCGGGGAGGGATTTCATCAAAGGAGCCCTGATGGAGCTGCTCTCCTACCTTGGGCCTTTCTGCAAAGTCTCCCCTGCAGAGGCGTATCTAATCCTGCACTGAAGCTGGCTGCAGTAATTCTCACCATATACTTTGACAATTAACGAGACAGCCTAATTTTAACTGCACGCTGCATTACAGTTCTGGAAAAATGAGTCTTTCCACATTAAATGAAGATTCCCTTGCACTCGTAGTATAATGGAATTACAGACAGACATCTATTAACTACCACTCTATCATTCATTTTTAATATAGTTCCTAAAATCCCATTTTATTCCTGTTTTCTCCCATCAAGGGACATGTTATTGCAAATCCTTACATAACCCACTAGTA